AAGTTATTCACAAGTCACTATTTATTTCATTAAGTTTTGCATATCCAGCATAAGAATTCTCCCTTGTTTCAGTTAAGATCTCATTAAAAATGCAGTAATTTACCATCCAGAGAAATTCTTGTTTCCTTGATATGTCATAAGACATTAATTTAAAAAGCCATTTACCTTCCCAATACATACGTAAAATAAATGGTGGTCACACTAGAATTTGGTATTCAAATACTAGTTATATTTACTAATAACATACAAAAACCTTTCTAAATTAGAAAGAAACAATTGATTTCACCTGTAATCTACTGACGAAACTTCAGGTGGTTCGATAACTTTTCTATACTTTTCTAGTCGTTTTTACTGGCTTAGAGTATAATTATACTCTCGTTGGTTTTATTGATTGTCTTACTTTCCAAATTAGGGTAATACTAGCATAATTTCCCTACTTGTTATTTTTTCAACTTCTTTGTTATTGTGGGTATGTTAACAACTGGCTAGGACAGGTGGCAATTTAGCCTCAGAATTGGTATCTTTTACGTCGGTCATGAAACTAATCTTTCTTATTCTGGGAATGTCCAGCAAGTTTGTCCTCTTTCTGTATTAACAAATTAATACACTTAGCTTTAAGAGAGTCTCAAAAGTTCACTAGCAACACTGAATTTGGTAAAGGCTTCTGCATAAGTAAAGACATTAACTGAATTGGATAACTATAATACATAATGTATAGTAGCATAGTCCTTATTACTATTGACGAAATGTAAATAATTTTTGAACATTTCTTATATGATTTAATTCAAAATCTTGTGTATGATCTTTGTGTGTTCACAGAATTTAAGCTGAGGTGAGCAAAAGGCCATGTTGCTTGTACCCCACCTCAGGCATCACTTTGCTTCTGCCTTTGAAGGTAAACTCCAGTTTTCATGTGAACATGTATCTAAACCTTGGGATCTCTATTTATTCTTTTTGTACATGCTAGGATAGATCACCAAACCCTGGGTGTTCTGAAAACTGGACTAAGTTGAAGGGTAAGAACTGGAGCTTAACAAATAGGCAGGTAGGCACAGCAGTTATGTTGTAATTCTGTGTGAGCAGAGGGGTACACAGAAGAAAGAAGGGCAGGTGGAATCAGATATCTGCATCTTACCAGTTATCTGAATCTTGACAACTTGGGGAAAAATGCATATTAAACTCATGAAGTCATTCATTAAAGTACTTTCTAATGAGAAGTAGGTGAAAGAGAAAATTATATGGGTTTCTACTGAATCCAAATTACCAACTCTACTTATTATTTGTGAAATCACTAAATGTTGCCACGGAAATAAATGCAGTGCTACAGATGCAGCATTTTGACTTCTTCATGGGTTCAGAGATGCAAAGGAGTAAATCCCTGTGTAAACACTAATTTCATCAATTAATTAGGAAACATAGCAATACAAATGATAAGATCCCATGGAAGTTAACCTAATTTCTCTTTTGTGTCTGATATGACAGTTTCCTCACTTTCACACTATCTCTTCAATTCATTTTCATTCTACTGTAGTATTTATTCCCAGGGAAGAGCTTCAGACCACAGTGGAAGTTATTGGGGAGGGAGTTTTTAAAAAACATGTTAGCAGGACAAAGACTATATATTTCAGCTATTTAAACACATTTCTTTGTTTAAATTTCACTTAGCTTATTTATTTATTTGAGATAAAATTCCACATAAACAAGCCCAGAGTTCTGTGTTGTCTTAAGAAAAAAAATGATAAACAATCTAAAATATTAAACAACGGAAAAATGGTATTTTCCACGGTCTTGTCTCTTCCATGTCTTCAGGATCTTGCAGTTCCATTAAAATAGTTCCATTATACATACATAGGTATCTTGAGATACACATAGTATCTAATTACAGTTGGAATCCCACCCTTCTCTTGAAGCAAATCCTCACTTTTTGAGTTCAAGTCCAAATCTTGTGTTCATCTAACTTTCACAGTAGTGTCACAACTTCATGTATCCAGGTTATTTCTAAAAGCAAATGCTGCCAAAATATTATGTACTATGAATATAAAAGTACTGATTAAAAAAAGAAACTTGTTTCCATATAGTAAATAAATTTCCCTTTTCTTATATTTAACAAATCAGTATATTTGTAATGCTCAAAAAAGTAAATCAGGAATACAGTTCATGCCATTAACTGTCAAGAATTGTTTAATTGACTTCCTGGTTACTCAATTACTACATTGATAGTGTGTCATTTTAAAAAGTTAAGCCTTCTCGTCCATTAATAATGGTCGTTCAATCCATATCTTGCAATATTCCTAATCGTCAGTTTTATTAATTTAATAAAAAACAGCTAAATATCTCTTTTCTAAATACTATCTAGCCGGTATCATAGCCTATTTCCATACATTACATTGAGCAGGATTTTGAACAGTCTCATCGATGTCAGGATGACAGTAATACAGACTGGACGCAAGGCCGGTTTGAACACACAGGTTATTTAGAAAATTTTAAGTTGTGTGTGTTTGCATAAAATTTGATGCAGCTAAAGGCTAAATTGCCCAGGGAAAGGAAAGGACATCAAAATAAGATTATTGACTGGCCACTAGCTCAGGAAACAACGCCTTTTGTTCCCAGCTCTGTGAGCAATACCCTGCATGCCCTTGGTCACGTCACGCTGTTTTTCTTTGTTGCTCTTCGTTCTTTCTTGTCTCTTTGGACTGAAGGGTCTCCTGGGTGGATCCTGGGTGGGTGCTAATCAGAGGAGCCAGCAAAATGCTCTCTGTTGTAGCCTCTAGGTGCTGCTATAATACAAATAATTAATCAAAAGATATGCTTCACAGCTCTCAGAGGGCATTGCCGATTTTATACCAGTGAACCTCTCTCCTCTAATACAAGTGAAATTTTAGCTTTTGATATTGGGAAAAAAAATGAACTTGAATGTGAAAAATATATGTGAATATATCTCTACAAAAAGGTTTGACTCACCTCTAGCTAAAGTAGCTCATTTGAGGAGGTCAGGTGCCAGCCCTCTGCCAAGGACAGACACTACTGGATAAATCCACAACTGTATTCCTGACTCAAACCAGGCTTCCAATGCTAAATTTAATGGTCAGGCATCTCATCTCCCTGAGGACTCTCTCATTTATGTGACTTAGGTTTGCAAGCACATAAGGCACACATACAGGTACAAATGCAGGTGATCTAGATCAGGACATAGCTGAGTTCTCCTGCTTAAGGACACAATTTATGGCCCCGAAGTATATACAAATGTAAATACCTGTGAGCTTAGTGAGGATAACCTTTGTCTGGTGGGGTGGAAATTCAGATGCTGGCATGTACCTATCAAAAGATCTGCATGTTTTGCATAACAGGGTACTACGACCCCAAAGTCATTGCTGTTCTCATTAAGCATTTTAAGAGGGGTAGTTTGAATTTTAAAATCAGGCAAAAAAGAACAAATGAATTGGAAGAGTTTGAGCAATATTTTGTTCTGTCACATTTCCAAGGAATGAGCTGCCAACTCTGCAGCCTACCCCAGTACATCATTTGATGTAACCTCCAGCTGAGAAGTTCCAACAGAATAATAGCTCTCACAGAGGTGTGCTGGAAGCATTAGTAGTTATGGAGATATCGAAATAGTGGCAGATGTCTCCTAGAACTGCTTAGAAAATGCATTTGTAGTTAAATAGTTTTGTTTGGTGGAGGGTAAGTGATCCCTCCTACAAAGCAAAGGCACAGTAAGGAGAGGAGCTGGCCACGCATTTCAAAACCGTTGCAGGTGCCTCCTGGAGGGCTATTTTAGCAGGATGCATTGGTACAACGGGGTGGGAGAAGGGATCAGAGCCCTGCAGTCTTCCTGCCCAGCCCTATCCGCTCTGGGATAAAGAGAGCACGATGGCTAAGCCCTCTCCTGGGGCTGTCATTTTCTGTGAGTTAATTACAACCCCTTCCTCGTAGGGAGAAGATGCACAGAGGGGGAGATGCTCCGGTCCTTCCACACTCGAACCTCTTGGACAGCTGTGGTCCGGTTCTCAATATTTAATTGAAATTCTGTAAGCAGATATTGCAGGTCTTACTATATTTATATAAAAGCTGTTACAAGCTAAAGACTAGCCATTAAATTGGCAGTGTTCATAAGCATGCTTCACCAATTTTCCCACTTTTAAGATTCACGTTAATGTTTTATAAATTATAAAAAATTCACATCAGGTTTTAACAAAACTAAGCATACTTACTCAACACACATGGGGCCTCTGGAAAAAATGTTATTCAATTTAATAAGTTTAATTTACATTGTATATGTACAAGAGCATTTTTTTCAACCCACAGGTTAACACCACAAAAAAAAAAAAAAGAACTGCTGTTAGAGGAGTGAAGAAATTATTGAAATACTGTTGTCTGAAATAAATTCAAGGCACTCGCCCCTTAACACCTGATATATTCCTGAATTCGGCCTATATAAAGGCACGTACACACTGAGAGAGCTCTAAGAAAAGTAGTGGATTGAATCTGCATTAATTCTGTCTTCTACCGCTGCCACCTGGCCCTGGTTGACTCACTGATGAACCTGGGTATGGACACGAAGGACGATCCCACAGGGGACGTGACGTGTGAGGGTATCACAGTTAAGACTCTCTGTGGAAGACTGAAACAGACTGGCTACACGGAACCTCACATGGGGCTCTGGACCTGCTACCTGCTGTTCGCATCCCACATAGGGAATGAAACGCGCTCAACAAAAAAGCAACTTCACCACATTACGCTGATTTGTGAGAGAATTCTTTGTGAGGGCCCCCTCCCGCAGAAGTGGTCGCAAGCCCTCGTTAGGTGCTCAGCACCTGGCGGGACTTGTCCTACAGAAAAGTGGTTTCTCAAGGGGCCTTATGCTTTACACAAGGAGACAAAAGTAACCATAATTTTGGATTTTGTGTCTGTGTGTTTTTGTAGGGACACCTGTGTGTGAGTGTCTGAGTGTGTGTGTGTATATATGTATATATGTATATGTATATATGCATATATATATATATTTAGTATATACAAAAGCTGAAATTCAGTCAAAATATATTTGTCTTGCTGGTCAGGCTTGTTATAGCAACCTACAAGAAACATTAGCTTCTCTGATATTTAATTACGCTATTATGTTTGCACATAAGCTTAAAAGTCAATACAAAAAGCAATACTTTTTCAAATATTATCTGCAAGTAAACTGGAAATATTAACTATAGTGACTAGAAGTCTGCATCCCTATTGATAATACTATAAATCTTGATATAAGAATAGTTTTTTCATAAAAGCACATCTAAACATAGTAAGTGATAAAATACCAGATTACTATTTGAAAACCATACAGTGACTCGATATCTGGGTTATCCTTTGCAGCAATTAGGCAATTCATTTGGCATCTGTTTGATTGTATAATTTAATTTCCATATAAACAGCATAGTTTAAAAAAAGACAAAAGCTAGAATGTTTAAAGCTAACAAAAGATACAGTGACATCAGGTTGACATTCAGAAATTTCCTTAGCAAAATGACCAACAAAATTTTGACTTAATACAGTGCATATAAAGTTTTTTTAGAACTAAAATTTTTAAATATTATTTGAATTTAGCAAAACAGGAGCAAGATTTTAATATCAAAGTGCTAAACAGTACTGCCTTAGAAGTCACTGCAAATAAACTGTAAAATAACTCTGCTTGTGATTTGACAGGTATTTTATGTACAAATGGTTAATAAAAAGACACGCGCACACACACACGCGCACACACACACATATAGTATATACATATATATATATACACATTATATATATGTATATAATTCTCCAACTGATGCATCTGAGTCAGTGTGAACACCCCATTGAGTTACTCTGTGTAACAGGGCTCCCATGAGCTGGCAGTCATTGCAATAAATACAGGCAAAGCCATTACGATATACCATGCATACAAACATTTATACAAATAAAGACACTATGCAACAAATTATTTCATATTAATATGGCATCAACAGTATAAACATACAAAAAGGAGTACGAACACGGAATGTTTAAACGCAGCCCACTATACCCTTCCTAGCACTTACATTCAGACTATTTTACAAGACTTGCTTGTTCTTCGGAACTACCTTGTGTCTGTTTAAGAACTTGTTACTTGTGTTAAAGTCTAAAATTTAGCTATCCCTGATGCTGACCCTGTATGCTCCAGTCACTACTTACTCGGATTTCCTCATCTAAGGAACAATTGAGTCACTGCTGTTCCTGTGTCCTCCACATACATTTGTCAGTAAGTCCTTCTACATGGAATCAAGTTTGGAAAACTCTGTCATGTAAGTTAGTGCATGTAATTTTGTCACTTCACTTCTTCCACTTATTTTCATATTAAAATAAATTAGTTAATAAACAAGACTTATTAAGACAGCACTTTTAAAAAATTGCACTTGAACATGGGAGCTAACAGCCATTGTCATTTTGCTATATTTGATTTCTATGAAATGTTCAGTTGAATGTACTTTGTTATAAAAAGTGAACTTTTTGTTAGATTGTGCCAATGTATGTGCCCTTGATGCAGGAAGTATGCTAAAGGTATTGTCACAAAACACATACTACCCTGGCAAACAACTATTCGCTGCCCTTGTTTTCAAACACACAGCTTCTACTATTTTACTCCTCATAAACAAGGAGGTGTTCAACGACAGATTTGAAACAGTCATATTAACCTTTTACTGCTGCTGGGATGGCATTGTCCAAAAGTGCCGTATTAGCAATTTAAAAAACCCCAAATCACACAAAAGAAAACAAAGAACGCAACCCCAAAAAACGGTAAGCCAGTAACTTTTAGGCCTCAGGTTGTAAGGGCAAAGCGCCAGAAAATATCTCATTTTTAGAGCCGGAGCCGCTTTTCTGCTAAGTGGGGGCAGAAACATTAGCTGTAAGTCACAATCCATGTGCCTGCTCGGGTGGGCGTTTGCCTTTCCGCAGGGCGATGGACTCAGAAGGGTAAGGTGTCCAGGAAGAGCCTGTCAATTATGGAAGGGGCGGGCACCAAATCTTCCAGTTTCAGGTAAAAGATGCGCTGCAGTCCCAGTGTGCAGAGGGAGCGCAAGTCAGCGAGAACACCCAGTACCTTAGGCTCCGCAGACTCCACGGCTTGTCCCTTGTTTTGGCAACTCAAAGTTAAGTGTTCTTTCAAGCTGCTAGTGATCTTGTTGCATAGCTCTTCCACTTTCTTTGGTTCTTTTAATCCATGCCGTTCTGCAAAGGGAGGGCACAAGAGAAAGCGCGTCAGCATCCTGCCTCCCAACGGAGGGGCCTCGGCTTCTTCGGACAGCAAACCACAACCCAATGTGTGCTTTGGTGCACAAAGCAAAAATGCTTTAAATGGATATGATGTCTTGGAACAGCGGCTAAATACAGAGTCAGTTAACCTTCATGTCATACTAAATAAGACACGATAAGTGCCCTTTTCTTTTTAGGCGCTAAAATAAATTATAGAGATGCCCATTTGTGATCAAAATACTGGTACAATGAGTCCAGGCTGCACTGCTCGCATGATTTTCATGATATGAGACAGAATTTAATTGGGCGATTTTCTAGCAAAACTATCACAGGAGGTGTTTGGGAGATTTCCGTGCTTCCCCACCAGTTGTGAATGCTCAATAACTATGGCAACCATTATTTATTCAGTGAATTCAAGTGGCGATCGATACCCTTAGCCAGCTCCATCAACACCAGGCCTGGAATTCCACTAGGAATTTGCAGACGCTCTCATAAGAATCTAAAGGCACCTTGCCAGCCTTTGTTATTTTGATCAGCTCCTGCTTTTTAGTTTATTCATCTGTAAAAGCTTCAAGATAAAAGAAATCTGGAAGTTAACTATTTTGCTATGAGGGAGTAACGTGGCAAGTGGAAAGGCTGCTGAGTTATCATAAAACAACCCTCAACATTCCTCGAAGGAAGAAGAGATGGGGTTTGCCCCCCGTCCCCCTGAACAGCCTTTTAAAATGCTGTAGCAATGTTAAATGTTTCCTCAGTTCTCTAAGCTATAAGCAGAATGAATCAGATTTGTGATTCAATAAAAGCAGGCTCTTTACTGATACATGGGGAAATGTTGTTTTGTGCTGTTTGTTATCAATCTTGAGTGGATAAATTAATGCAATATTTCTGAACAATAATCTCCAATAGTTTTGTGGCATTTTTATTTGTCTTTGACTTGAAATTCACAGATAAGTAATAATTGGCTTCATAGAAAACTCATAATCATTTGTACGTGAGATGGAACTATACCAGATAGAACAGCCTAAGGAAATGCAGATCAAATTAATTTTAACCAACTAGACACAGAAAACCAGTGAGGGCAGCAGACAAGCAGTGAGTTATTGTGGAAGTTCTTGTGCTTGATGCATTTAAAGTCCCCTGTCTTCCCTAGCTGCCCCCCTCCACCACTGGCAGCCACATCTCCCCAGATCGTTTTCCTCTTTATTTCAGGAGGACCTGGCAACAGATGCTTTGTTTGCCCATTCCCCTAACAAAGAATAAGGAGAGAACAGTTTTCTTTACTCCCAGTATCAGGCAAAACAATTTTCACTCTGTATGTGTGCAACTCTACGTGTCTTTCACTCTAACACGTCTGCAACTTGGTTAACTTACACACAGCTGCCTCCTAAAGAGTATGAGTTTGGGGTGAGATATGTATATCTGATTGCAGACATATGAATCTCTGGCCAGAAGCTACTGATTCTGCCACTTTGCACTACCCTGTACTGGCAGAGCTACACACAGCCAGGCACTAACATCTGCTTCAGACATCTTCTTCACCTCGGAGGCATAAGAAAAATGAGAATGCTAAGTGCCCTGTTTACATTAAAATGTGTCAATGAATATTTAAAGCCTTTCCAGTAAATTGTGTAGAGTGTAATTATGTAAAACTTAACTATACAGGTCACTGAAAGCAAATACTTAAGTAGATTCTGCCATTTAGAAACTTGGGGGGATAAATGTTTTAGACACGCTTGAAAAAAATGTAAGGATATTTTACTACTAGTCTTCTGGGTGAATCTGCAGGACATTAGGCTAATCTTGCAGTCTTTGAAGAGTTCCCATCTTGTTCGCAACTTGTTTTGAGGTTATTCCTGGCTTTGTAAGTAAAGATACTTTTATAGTTCTAGAGAGCTAAAACAGTAGAATGGATCCAAAAAGTGATTTTAAAATTGCAGATTTTTAAACCAGTGTCTCAGTAGATGTGTGTTACTGCAAAATATGGAAAATTATCTCTAACTCTTGAGTGCACAGCAGTGTTGTTAACACTTCAAGTCAGAAGTAAGCACGCTTTGTCTTACCCTGACAAGTTCAAAGGTTCATGAACAAACTGCTGTCTAGTCATACAAATGCTGGTTAGCCATACAACATGATGATGTAAAATACAGTGTGTGCAAGAATTAGTAGCCGTACTTTAAATAAATAAATAAATAAATAAAACCCTTCCATCCTAACTCTGCTCTCTAGTGCTACAACATTAAAGCACATTAAAAAAAAGGGCGGGGGGGTGGTTCTGCTAGTAAATTGTAGTAAATGGCACCCTTTGCACTGGCACCTCCATCAGAATCTCTGGAAGTTAGTATCCAACTAGTTTCTGGAGAACGTACTGCTATACTAAACAACTCCTTCATGAGACAGACTTTAGTCTTGGATCTAGTTTACATCAAAGACTGTAATTTAATAATTTCATTATTTAGTAGTTACCACTTGCTGGCTTCCATAGGATGCTGTTATCTACATAGGAATGACAAGGCTAAGATGTATCCCAAGAAAGGCAGCTAGTCAAAAACAATGTATTTTCTCCAACTGATTGAAGAGGTGTATAAATATTACTGTCTTCAGACTTCCTTACAACGACAATTACAGAGGTGCAGGCAAAGTGAATATAAAATTCCTGAGCCTACTGTTATGGGATGCCACTGATCTTTGAAAGAAAAATAGAGATTTATGGCAAAGATGCTCTCCTGTCAGAATGATTTGTCAGAAGCCTTGTCTAAAAAGCTCTGCAGACTTCTCAGCTCGTTGTAGCAAACTTAAAACTACGTGTTCCTTACAACGTTTTACTTTAACCACACGTAATTTACAGGAATCTCAATGTGAATCTGAGCTATAATTATGCTAATAAACAAAAACTTGATAGGAAGAAAAGGGAAAACCAGTCAGCAGCTGAGCTAGACTTTCTTTCCTTCTCCAGTGCCTGTCATCGGGCAGATTATGGCTGGGCAGATTTAATGCTGGTACCTTTGAACACCAGGGCTGATGAACACCCGCCTCAAAGCGTGTCTTTCAAAGCTCCTAAGTATCCCATGGACACACATGCTCTGTGCTCTCTATCTGAACGGGTCAGTTTTATCTTTAGTTCTGAGGTGGCAAAAACAGTCTGACCAGAAATGTAACAGATTTCTGCTGCTGACTTAAAACAGGCCTCTTGATTGTCTTGGTTTCAATATAATTATCTGATTTTCTCTTCCCCCTTCACAATCCTCTTCCTCTTCTATAACTTAAATACATGGAAGGCTTAGTTAGTGACAGCTTCCTGACTGCCCTGTGCAAACCATGTTATCCAGCAAGGCTGGGGTACGTTCAACAGAAGAGAGCCCTTTCCTGATGTGCTCCGGCCCACGCTCATCCCGCCTACCTCTCGGGCACCCCACGAGGGTGCCCAAGTTACCTGTGCAGTCTTCTCCGGTTTGCTCTAATGCCAGTGGAGAAATGGGCAGCTTTAGAAGATGATTCAGATCTGAAGTGAGTGAATCATCTTCTGGAGGTGCCCTATATCCTCCATTGACTGCATGAGGTAAAGTCAGTTGGGCTGAATATGGGACTGACACCACGCAGGGTATCAGAGCTTGTCGCTTCCTTTAAGAAAACCACAACATAACACAGAAGGCATGGGTTGCTGCAGGACGAGAGAGCAGTTGCCTCAGCAAAAGGGTAGGAAAGGATGAAGCGGAGTGAGTACTTCACTTTGCTGCTGAGAGTATTCCCCTCAGCAAAGTGCAGGGGGGACGGCAGACAATGCAATCTGGAGATTTCTTTTTATTTTATTTTTATAACTGGCACTCCTACACTCCCCCAGTCTGCCACCTGCCCATATGTAGAGCCAGCACACGAAGCAGCCATTCCGGAGGATCCTGGCAACAGGACTGAAGGATATATAGTGTGGAAGTGAAGCAAGTCTCCCTTCCCGAGCGGGACAAATCTGCGCTTAGAGGGGAACCGCAGCAGCCAGACTGGCCTCATTACTGTGTCAGTATGACTGATGGTGCTAAAAACTATGTTTCTAAACTGGAATGGAAAGCTCTACAGCAGGAGCGCAAACACAAACTCATAATTAATTGAAACCTCACCATATTTTTCAATGTTCTAGCGCCAGTCTAACAAAGCATTAGAAGTGTAAATAAGCCCAATATACACAGTGGCTCTGGGCTGGTCTGTAAAACACTTAAATTAAAAACATATGGCAGAAGCGCTTGGCTGGATTAGGGGTAGAATGCTGTGTACTCAGCAGTTTCCCACTGAGAGTGACAAGTGGTCAAAACAATATTATTGTCATGTGGATACAGAAAGGAAGAGTCAGAAAGTAGAAAAAACTGAATAAGACAGAGAAAGAAACCATGAGCAGTTTCAGAGTAAGCAGAAAACTGGAAATAAATTAGACTATGTCTTTGACATAATCTTCACTGTAATTGTAATCTATACATTCGTCAATGCATTTTGGTATTGTTGGAAAAAGTGTTAAAACAGGTTGTACAAGAAAGTGATGTAGTATTTCAGAAGACAGTCTGAATAAAGTTCTGGTCCACACTGCAAAGTTTTATCATCAAAACTTTGTCGGGACTAAAGAGATTACGGCATGGAGTGGTTGTTCAAGAACACTTGTGATCTATTCAACATTCTAAACTCACAGAAATTGCCGATGTGAAACTAAGAACAGAACCTGTCCCTAGACAAACAATATTTTTTCCCCCACGTCTGTAGTCTCACTTAGCTCCTTGGATCATACATTCCTATAGAATAATGGGGAATAATTCAAAAAAAGAAGAATGGAACAGAACTTATTTCTTGCTTTCAAGGGGATGTGGGATGCGTGTCTTGTATCATTTTCTAATCACTCTCTTCTGGATAATACTCAGAGCACCGCTGATGTGCTCTGGGGGAAGTTGTGTCCAGCCCTTCTCAGCCAACTGAAGGAAGTAAAAAAGGAGAAGAGAGAAAGAGAGGAAGATCCTAAAGGAGTACCTTAAATAAAAAAGACATGCTTTGACGTTGAAGAGTTTTAAGTTAATTGTTTGCAAGCCACCCACAATTATCTAGATGTTAGTTCTTTCATTCTGAGTGCTTTCAAGCTTACGTCCTATCAAAAATCACTCGCAAATTCAGCAACACTAATACAACCCTTTTCTTTCTATGCAACATATTGCAAATTCCCAGAAGACATCAAACAGGGCGGGGGGGAAAGAGAGAGAATATATGGATTTTAAAATGAATAACACATTGCAAAATGTACAAAATATTTTAGTAATTATTTTATGCATGCATGCCTTTAGTTTTACTCAATGCAAGCAGTGAGTAAGCAATATACTCTGATACTTAATAAATCTTCTGTGGTTCTCTGCAAAATGACTGACCAGAATGAATGGCCATACACGTCGATAGCTGTGACCTGCAGCTATGGCTGGACAAGGACACAGAGCTTCGCACAAGTCAGCAGGGTTAGTGAAAAGGCACTGGAACGACTGGGTTAGTACCGTGGAGCCCAGCGGGCCTCACGAAATGGGAGAGCAGCCTTTGGTATCTCGGGACTCTGGGAGCAGTGGGGTATCCTTTAGCCTTCCACAACGGGGAGCGCGTACAGGAGGGTTTGTCTTCCAAAAACCTTTCTTTGTTCAAGCTAAGGAGAGCGCTCATGGAATCGAGAGGAACGAGCAAGTCATTATTCCTAGGTGTCTCTTTATCTGGAAAAGTATTCTGAAATTTGGTGCTACCTCCGACCATGTAGCGTATTTAAATCAGCTATATCTCAACATTGATTTTTTTTTCCATTGGATCAGAAAGCCATAAAAAATTGGACTGATCCAAGATAAGAACTGAAGTAATTTGTGTAATAAAGAATTTTGCTGGATTCAGTATTTTTCTCCAGCAGTATTTCTAACAAAAGCAAGCATCTAGACTCCAAAACTTTCCTGCTCCTTCCTATCTTGCAGTTCAATGACTTGGATATTCAACTAAATGTCTAAAACAAGACTTGAACCAGTTACTTCTAAGTGTCCAAAAGATTTCAGAATTTCAAAACGTATCTCCATTACTTTTTCCCTTTGGTTGGGACTATCCGAAAACTAGCACATTCCTAGTCATATTCAAACAGTAGGGGAAGGACAGGAAGCCATTTCTCAAGGGATATGACACCAGAGGCTTTCCTGATTATAAACATTTCCATATACAATCACTGAGAAATTCTCAAAATAATAAAAGAGCATTTTGTGCTGTAATGCTCTCTTAGCCACAATTATCCGATTTCCTTTCTAAAGCTTTTTGATATTGTTTGTCTTTATACAATGGGATCCAGTTTCAGGTAGCCAAATTTCTGTCTGAGTCCTTAAGTTAGCTAGGTGCCTTTAGGGACCTGAAACCTGTGAATATAAATCACTAGGCACACAAACTTTGCTCTAACAGCATGAAGATGGCCCTGCATACTTAAGAGCAAGTGAGCAGAGATGCATTAGTCCTATGAAATAAAAGAATAAAGAGAAAACTACATTAAATGTAAGCACTGGAAAAAAAAAAAGGTAAGAAAGACTTGACAAATACAGTCCCCCTACATCCAATCTACTGGGGACAGAAATGCTCTCCTCCTAAAGGTTCGTTTGGCAAGGTCAGTACAATGCAGCAAGCCTCTGAAGGACTACTAGCACCAAAAGGAGGAAAGGTGAGGGTCTATTACTTAGAAGATATTTCTATTAAATACTTTAGGGTGATCCGAGTCTGACAATTTTAACTCTATAGGTAAGGGCAGCAAAATGGTGTCTGACTGAACAAAAATTATCATGTTAAACTATACCATGAGTCTGTAAGGGAAAAAAAAAAAAACCCTCACAGAGTAGCTTTTCCTACATTCATCTCTACAGTTTGCATGTTATCCTGTGCCTCTCTCTACCTATAACCCCTCAGCCTCCAGGAAGATAAGGACAAGCTCTATCTACTGCTTCTATCTAGACAGCATAGAGTCAATAACCTAAAGTAAGCACAGGTGCTATATATATATGTGTGTGTGTGTGTGTGTATATATACACACGCATACACACACAGAAGCACCTATCCCGTGTATATATTTATAATATATTTGCGTAAGTATATTTGCAGGTATATGGATGCTTATATATAGGAGCCAAAAATAACTCAGAAATGGTCTTTCTCACTTTAACACACATTTCATTTTGGATTTTTTCAGGTAAAACAAAGCAACTCCACTGAGTTTTTCCTGGACTTAAGAGATGTATCAATGAAACTAAAATCTGGCCCTCAATGTGCTCTCCGCAAGCACAGAAAAATGAACATAATTTAACTGAAAAACTGAAAATGCTTTTCAGAAGAAAGAGATAAAGCCAGAACAAGCGTAAACTAACCCTTAGCCCAAATGCATGCAGGAAGTATACCATCTAAGATATGATGCAAATATATCGGCCTCACAAATGTGAGCAGGAATTGGGTATGTGACAGTTTTTATATTTACTACTGAGCATTTTCCCTGAGTGTTTCCCAAGCACCATCTCATCCCAGGTAGAATTAAGGCTACAGCTGGTATCGTTGAGGCTACCACCTGCAGACAGAAGGATGTCTGAGATGCATGAGGAAATCAATTCCTTTCTCAGGGGAGCTTAAGGCATCCTCAGAAAGGCTCAACTCGAGGCATGCTGGCACCTTTTTTCACCCAAATGATCCAGCTGCACCTCTGCATCATCATCTTCTCTGAAATGAGTGCAAGGCTTTCAGGAGTGCTAGCGGCCGTGCTCACTCCAGCCACATTTCCATGGATACCCTCATTCCCAGCCCTGGCTCTGTGGCTCCTTCAGTGAGCCTTGCCTCCTAAATTACCCAAAGCCCAAGGAATGCAGTGTGCACTTCAAGGGGCTTTTGTTACTTTGGGAATGGGGAAATTATACTTAAAAAAGCTCAACCTCCCCTGATCTGTACTTAGTAGCCAGTTTTGGCAGATTCTTACATTATTTTCCTGCTGTTTGACCTATTAGGCAGAAAGGGTGAAATGGTCAGGTGTGCACCTAGAAGTTTTTGTAAAACTGCATAAAAAAATTAAAAACTGCATTCTCCAATTTAGTCTCTCAAAAAAAGTGATACCATGAAATACTTACAGTAGCTTGGGTACTGCCTCACAAGAGCCTACTGCTCTTGTGAAACACTCTCTCTGATCTATTTATCTCACTGAGAGACAGCGTATAGACAGGATAAACTAGCGTATAGTTTCCAGCTCTTGAGCTGCCTGATATTACTATGTCTACCCAGGACTTAGCCCTTGTCATTTCATTGAGCTTTTCTGTGAATTCAGCAAGCATTTTGAATGCTTTTGTAGGAGCTACACAATTTCGTTGGAGGCAGTTCGCTTTTTAGAGACTATTCCAAGGAGAGCAAAAAAAAAAAAGAGTTAAATTACATTTGAATAGGTGTTTCTGAGGGTCTAAAGTTACAGCCCATAGTTTCAGTATAGTCATTACAACGCCTAAACATCAGCCAACCTGAGATTGTTTGAACATTAAAACCAAGCACGAGATTTCTATTATTAATGGAGCACTTACCTGTAATCATAGTTAGAGCTGATAAACTTGCTAAGGCTGGGATATCAAGGTTAAGGCTCTTTAAGTTTAAGGAAAAGTCTTTAATAGAGTCGAGCCACTCCCCAAATCCACGAAGGCACTGAAGTCTATGAAGCACAAGTCCATTGCAGAATACAAACTTATCCTCAGCAGTATCAGACCTGAAATAAAAATAGTTGAAAAAATTATGAATGCATCTTCTACTTTACAGTAAATGCATAACTAGTACTGAAGTGTCTGTCACTTAAAATCCAATGCATATTATTCTGAGACATATGTGGGCATTCATGTTTGACAATATGCTTCTCCCTTGGGGCAAAAGTACAACAAACAAGCTTCTATGATTGCTTACTTTGTAGAGTTATAGGCCTGAGGTTAACTGTAGCATGTGGTGTAGACTGTCTAATTAGTTAAGATTTCGGTCCTGCCCAAAGGCATAAACAGAAGAGACATTTTGCATTAAGTACTGTATGTTTGAACCAAAGGAACACCAAATGCATGCACTTCGAAATACAAAACTAACAATAGCTGGAGAAAGAAGAGATTCTGCTACTCTCAGCAATTATTTAGTCTCATCTGCATTTTTCATATTGTAAAAACTGATACAGAAAAAAAAAAAACAATGGAAAATATATGCAATAATGCACATCTTTGTGAAAAACCTGTGTGTGAAAGAGACAGAAAAGCTTTCCCCTGCTGCAATATGCCTGTAAAAAGCAGCATGCAAATGTCCTTTTAAACCTGAAGAAATGAGGACATAATTCAGTTCTCCAGTTTGGAATTTCCCCAGTCCCTGAAAGTGCCTTTGGTAACATGTCTTAACTACTGCCAGACTGACAAATAACATCTCACTCTGTTAAATGACTTGGTATTAAGAAGAAAAACAATCTGAACAAGATTGGAAAGCTTCTTTATCCCTTTCTAAAACAGACTATGAAGATATGCAGGTGCTAAAGAAAAAGAAGAGAAAAAGAAAAAGCTTTTATATTAAAGGTGCTTTTCTACAGTTTATGCTGACGACTGTGAAGCAGCCTTGCTGAAATAGTTCCTGAGGATCCATTCTTATTAATAGAGAAAAAGAGGATGTTGCATATCGGATGAAAAGAACCACATTAGTGAGAACTATGCTCTGTTTCTAATTCTTTTTATTATTCTTTTTCTGCGGTGCAACACAAATGAAATACGGTATTTTGAGGATGCAGACTTGGCTGATGTTTCATGGTTTTTTTATTTCTTAATGTTTGAAGATACTGCCATGTTTATTCCTTAAAAACATTTAGATGGACAACCATTCACATCAGCTTAAGAGCAAACAAAATAAATAATTACCTGATTGAGAGTCTTAGTACAAAGAGCTCCAAAAAAGCCGATTCTATGAGTAATGTCTGATCTTCTTTTGGGAGGTCAGTAAATCCGGGGATTCTTTCTGCCCAGCCTCTCGATATGTCAATGGAGGCAGTGAGAAGGTTATAGAACTGCTGGACGTGTTCTGCATCGGTGCCTGCAGCAGCCTGGTCGCTGGAACAGTACTACAAGGAAAGGCACAGACAGCAGTGTCACATGCATTTTAGGGCATGCTCTGAAACTACAGCGTTTTCTGTCCCGCAGCGTTTACCTCTGTGTCAAAACTAGTATTATTAATCATAATACGGAGGTCGAAATCTACCTATTTACCTCTCCACAGGGATTTTGCTATTTGGATGCTGATCACCAACTATTTCTACAAGTACAGAAAGCCTTTGTAAATTACTCCATTTTACAACTACCTTATGCAATTAATAAAGTAGAAATCTGGTGAACAGGGTGATTTCTAAAATAAGAGAATAACGCTACTTAACTTACTACAATTAAGTAGTTTTCCCATTGATTAATTTGTGTCCGTATTTCCAAAATGAAGATTTCTTCCAAAACCTCCCAAATTTAATTTTATCTGACAGCAATAGACACATGTAAGACAAATCAGCTTTTACACGACACAAGCAGCATCACTTAATTTGAATATAAAATTAGTTGAAAATGGCTGCCCCACACCACCTCTTCTTCAAATAGTGTTTTAGGTTCTGGAGAACCTATTATACCACTGATGTGGCCATAACTCTTCCAGACAACCATTTGACAGCACCAGCTTGCTTAATTTCCCCATGACCCCTTGTCAGCCCCTTCCCTGCCAGTGTCACTGCTGTGACAATTCTCTCTCTAGCAGAAAATACAACAGGAACTTTGGCAGCCCAGGAGTCACCTCTGTGCAGGGCGAAGAGGAGAGGACTGCAAAGAGACCCACCGGGGCAGATGCCTTATTCCTTGCCTGCCACAGCTGGAGCTCATTGCTGGTGGGTAAGGGATGAAGGAAGCAGAGGCGCTGATTGCAAAGCCACAGTAAAACTGTTAGAAATCCTGGAAATCTCTCTTTGCAGGTGGGTTGTCAATGACAGCCCTGAATGAATCTGTTCTGTTTACCTAAACACTAGCAAAATAAGTTTGTTACAGTGAACTCCTAGCTACATCTCTTACTCAGCTCGCGAAACTCGCGCAACCCGTCCAGTGAAGTTCATGCGGGGACAAAGTCTGCTCCAGCTACTCTAAAGATCCAGGTGACAGCGAAGCAATTGGAGGCAGAAACAGAGAAAGGCTGAGGAGCAGCAGTGGAAAGTGAAACCGCTGCACTGTTACATGTCTAGTCCTCTGTCTGAACGCTGCAGTGGAGGATGCTTGAGCAATATGAAACACTCCTCCAGCCACAGGACAGGAGCACCATGGGGACTAGTGGAAAATATTACATGGTTTTAGAGATCCCTTGCATGTGCTGGACCCTCTTATAATGAAGCTGTGGGGAAAGCTAAGACAGTGTCAGTGTGAGGAGATGGGCTACTCTGGGGCTTCCTGAAGGCCCTGGGAGATCTGTGGCACTGTGCAGGTGCTGAGCTAGCGCTCCTTCCATCCACGAAGGCAAGTGGAAGAGACTGCCGGGAATTCCTGCCTCATCCACAGGCACTGATAAGGCAGGGTATGTTCCTGATTAGAAGATCAGCGAAAAGATAACACTCCAGATTTGACTGTGATGTAACTCATTACAAGTCAGCACAATTATGCCAGAGCCTTTGTTCCCCCCCCCGCCCAAAAAAAGAAGTATTTTTAAACATTTTCTAAGAAAGTTGAATGCTACATTCCATCACACGACTGTGAATGTCACAGTACAGTATAACCCATGTGGGGCATTTAATTAAATCTTATTTCAGAATACATCTGAAAATAAATGTATGTTGTATATTTAGCCCACAAGAGCACTTTTGACAGAAAGGTAAGCATTATACAGAATATTTTTTTAACTGCTGTAATGTGTCACTGCTTGCTAGAAAAAGTTAGTGCTTACAAAGAGTAGCTGAAACCTTTACTCGTATGGAAGCAGCCAGGGCGTGTATGTCTTAGGCACAAAATCAATTATTTCTTTTCATGATTACTCCACTAAGAAGAACTGATACTTGACCAGTCGTCTGAACCAGGCGGCTGGTGAGTCTTGATCAAGAGGCCGCAGCCCAGGAGGGCTCCATGCTGCGTTCCTTGCCCTGGCCGGGCAAGCTGGAGGCACTCGGGAGACGGCTGGGAGACAAAGCTCTCCTTTGTTCCCTTGCTCGGAGCCCCTTCAGGAATTAAAGGATGGCCATTTTTTTTCTCAAGAAGGAGTTCCATGGGTAGGAAGCAAGATTAATTTACGTGGTGTATTTAAGGAGCTTCGAAGAACCTGATGCTGGGGAGAATGCTAGCACAATCTCGCTCCACCTTTGCCTGCTTTCAGCAGTCCTTCATAAAATGCGATAGCTGCAAAAGCATAAAAGAAAAATCTCTACAGCTGTAGAGGAGAAGCTATACTTGCTTTTCAATGTATCTGTCCTTGGGGTGTCAGAAACGCTGATATTTCCTTAATTTCTGATTTGGGGGCTGCCAGAAGGAAGTAGATTGTTACCTAAATGCTGCACACCCTCTCCAAAAGACAACTTTTCTACATAAGTCTGTGGTTATTCTGCCGGAATAAGGAGTGTGAAGTACAAGGGCTGCTTCTGATCTCGCTTCATTCGAAGTCTAAACGCATGGAATTGTACCAGTGAAACAGCTGTGAGGCCTGACTACGGCCCTTGGCCTTTAAGGAGTTCATAAACCAAATTCTCTTCCTAGTGAATTTTGAAACCAAATACCTAAATATATCGTTACTGTGGACTCGTAAATTAAAACCAATGCTTAAAGGAAGAGTAGCTATGATATGAACAGAGCCAAATCCAGCGTGTTTTGTTTTCAAAACCTGTGGATACCAATTTATTTTAGAATTTCTTTGGACATGTCATTGGGTTTTTTTTTTAAGGAATGAGTCTATGTTCCTCTCTGAAACTCTTCCTGGCATTTTTACGATGCTCGAGAAAACATTGCAAGGTATAAACATGAAGACCATTCCAAACATTACAGTCCTGACCACGAAGCCAGGTTCCCAGATCGACCGACCGGTACTGAATTGCAAGGTCACGGTCGTTCCGAATATACTTTTACTTGGTCTTTACAGGTATAAGATTCTTCAAACAGATTTTAACACTACAATGCAACTGCTGTGTACTTTATTTAGTTAATATCAGTTTTTACACATTATCCTTTTCTGATTTCCCTGAACCTTTAAAAATAGGCATAAAAACATTAAAAGCTAGCAATCTAATAATTTAATTTATTTTTGTATTTTCAGTACTGCTGAGCCCAACAGACTATAATATATTTTATCCTTTAAAAAAAAGAAAGAAAAAAAAAAGGAAGAAGGAAATAAACTTGGATATTAAGAAGTCCCAACAGCCAATCATACAAAATCTTTTATATACCAAGACTAAATTAATTTATCGTCAATCATGTACTTCCTATAATATAATAAGAGAAGTAATTACTGCAGGATGAAGAAAAAAAAAATCACTTTTTTTTTTTTGCAAATGTGAAAGAGCTATACATCTATACATAAATACATATGGTTTGATACTGCTTTCATGCATTGAACTATTATACTCCAGTAATTTCATGGCATAGAGTAGATTTCTGCCAAAGAGTACAGTTAGTCACGTACCTAGGTACGACCCCCTGAGACATTTTGGGTGAGTTAAAATACATGTAAATATGCTTAATGCATTTGTCCCCTAAAAGCATGACAGGTAATAATCAACTAGATTCTTAGTAGTAACTTATAAAATTGTATGATTGTATACTTTCAAACTAGCTTAACTAGCTTGAAGAAAAGAAATTACGGTATGCTTATATTTGCATACATCATTTAGCAATCATATTTTAAAATAGAACTATATCGGTTTTATATCATTATAATAAAATAGGTTTCATTATTTAACATTACTCAGGAATAGGCGATAAATTGCTAATATATGTTTTCTTAGTATCCTTAGATTTAATTATTTTTCATTAGAAGTAATCTGGTCATGTTTTTCCTCTGCTGTATTTTTTTTCTTTTCATATGTAAATCTATAAAATATATATTTAACAAGCCATTTCAGTGTTGTATTTAAATAACTACAGACTAGTGTTATAAACTTGTAATATAGTCTATCAGTTCCTAACTCGTGAAATTAATACACTGAAGAGAAAGGGTACAAAAATATAAAATCTGCTAAAGCTTTGCTGATTTAGTATTTTAGAATTTTGTCTTAAAGATTTGTTTCACAAATGTGAATGATATTTGAGAAATATCCATGCTGAGGTATCCAAAACCAGACTCTATTCCCGTTTTAAATAATGTTAAAATTCACACAGATATCAATAAAAACTGGTTCTAGACAGCCTGCTTTCTTCAGTGACCCAGTATTACTTTACACAACCTTTATATTTGAATACCAGAAAAGCGCTATTAGATTTTAACCTTTACAACCTGGGAATTGAGATACTGGACAAATGGCTCCCACTCCTGAATTTGGTGGATTAATCAACTGTATATTGAAATTGATAGGGTTTTAGGTGAAGCCTCTTACGTGAAGAGTTCTGTATTTATGCACACATTCCTGCATTCACCTGCCCATGAAAAACACTGTGGTTAAACTTAGCTCTCAGACACTCACAACCAGTAGTCACCAACATTACTTTCTAGTGTACCTCCTTTCACTCACTGCCCACCTACCACGTCTAGACAGGGCTGCCTGGATAAATTTCCATTCTCCTCCCAATTTCACAATTATTTTCGTTTTAGCAAACCCGCTGCTCAATGGAAGCTCACAAATCATGTCTACGCCAAAAACAAAGAAAGAAGAGAGAGACATACTCTGGAGTAGTCAAGCTCCCTGGGAGTGGAATCGGTTAAAGCTCGGACGAGGGCGTTCATCATGCTGATGGGGGGAGAAGGCGGCGAGGGCTGCGAGGGTTCCTGCTGCAAGGGGCTCTTTGGTTTGGAAGGCAGTCGACCTCTTCTCCCCTTCAGGCTATCCGTACGGACAACTACGTGAAAAAGAAGGGAGTCAGCGGCAAATTAAAGGGCAGAACGAACACCTGCTTCTCTTATAATGACCAGCCCAGCAAAATGCCAAAAAAAAGAAAAAAAAAAAGGAAAAAAAAATCATTTTCAGTATATGCTGTTGGTGTCTTTAAACACCAAGAAATACAAATGATCCCAATTCTATCAGCCTTATGCTGACAAGGAGCAATGCAACGGCTTGCTCAAAACCCAGCCATGTTCCCAGTGCTCCTGCTTTGTTTTCAGCAAGTGTCTATGTGCCTCTATGCACATGCACACACACACGGGCGCTCTGCTGCTGAAAGAAAACTGAGTGTGAAACCCAAATCTTAATGTTTACATTACTCATGCATATTTTATACAGAAGAATCATTCATTCAAAGCAATTCTAGTTTTTTTTAAAGCACTTGAAAAATATGGTCACATTATACAGACCATAACACCCATGCCAGTCTTTGCAATGGGACATCTCACACAATATTACTGACATATATAAACACTTGCAGGATTGGGACCAATGAGTTCATACTATTTCCATTTAGTTTAGTTGCAAATTTACAATCAGCTTATGGGAATGAGACAAGATTCTATGTAAAGATGCGAGCAAAATAATGAAATGAAGCCCCCCTCTGAGATAATATATGATATTTATATACAGCATTATATATATCACTACTGAACGCTGTGCAAAATTAGTAAAGGAAGTATTTTGGATAGCATCAAATTATCTTCCTGTGGCCTTGCTGTATTTGAACTTTGGGGACCCAAAAAGTCTAAATATGATAGCCCTACAGCCTGGATGAAAAGAAAAAGCTTTATACGTTATTACAAAATGCCAGATTTGGAGGGGGTAAATCACAAATTCCATCACTGTCAAATTAATCATAAAGAAATCCACATCCACAGACAGACAAATAGTGATTAAATGTAATAATTTATATGGTCGAAATAATAATAGCAATAGTCCTTACCTTCTTTAACCATGCCGACACTGAGACACTTCTGAAATCGGCAGTATTGGCATCTGTTGCGACGTCGCTTGTCCACTGGACAGTTTTTATTTGCCAGACAAACATATTTTGCATTTTTCTGAACTGTTCTCTGAAAAAAAATGCAACACAAAATAGTATACTGATACTTTCTTGAACGACTTAGAACCTGACAAAACGTATTTTAATTACAACATGAAAAGCGACAGTGCAATTCATATAATTAGATAAAATTAATTTCCTAACACACTAGCCTGCAGGAAAAACAATTTTATTAGTATTAGCTGCTGACAATGAAAATCATCTAGGATTGTTCTGAAGCAAGTCTCTGGAGACAGGCAAGTTTGAATGATAAAATCATATCTGAAATTACCAGGTCATCGCATCTACCTTTGGGGATTAGATTATCTCCGCTTTTAATATCCCTTTGGGAACAATTTTCTACTTGGTTCATTCCCTTGATTATTGCTGACCTTATTAAAACAAAATCAAAATGATCTGTGATGTACTTCTACTGCTATCACCATTGTTAGTCAAATACCACAATAACTGGTTTGGTTAGCTTTTAAAATCATCAGGGAAGAACACAAAAGTATCAGAAAACCTACCAATGGTATTCATTAAATATTCTGGGAAAACTAACCTGACTTGGGGGAAAAAAAAATGATGGAATTACACTGTAGTTATATACATTTAAATAACTCTAAAAAATATTTAAAGTCTATACATTCAATTTAAAATTTTTATAAGCTGGTGAGCCTTGAAAAATATAATAGAAATTAATGCAAAAAATATATATATTTTTGCACTTAAAATCAAAGACAGAGCAATAAATATCTTAGTACAGCAGGCTTAACAGCAAAGACACCATAACCAAAATGAATCTACCAGTTTGACATTTGGTATTAAATCTTTCACTGCAATTAAATTCATGGAAAATGTCATTTCATAATTTGTTTTCCTTTTAAAATAGACAGCTTCAAAAAATAAGTATGAGAGATGGAACAAACATAATTCATTGTTCTTTAAAAATGAAAATTGTACATTTCTCTTAAAAAAAAAATGCAGAATAGGCATTGGATCCTGCTCCCATTTTAAATTAATAGCATATGCTACTGATTTCCACCGGGTCAGGATCGGGCCCATACTAGCTGCTATTTCCAGGTTATTTGTGTTTCATTTTCTAATTATATTTAAATAACAAGTAAGTTCCATGCCTTTTTTTTTTTAATTTTACTATTATTTTTAAGGAAAAAAATATTATTACTAAGTATTGTTAGCAGTTCTGTGTCCAATAGAAATAAAAAGTTAAAAACCCTTCCTCCCACAAGTATTTTTGAACTATCACACTTGGGAAATCCTTAATTGAAACAGCAGCATGCCTACTAGTCCTGCAGAAAGAAATTTATCACACCAAATCCCTGTTTATCAAATCTTAAGCCTACTACACAGACCTGCACCCCAAGCTTACCCCATTTTTTTCACTTAAGCCATAAGTACATAATTAAAAACATAAATAAATAAAAATCTAAAACTGTTGGAAGAAAATGATCAAGCACTCAAATCTAAAAGCAAAGGGCAAATACTTTAAAAAAAAAAGCAGAAAGTTTCCTCTGATAAACTGCTTTATATAAATTATCAGTGTTACCCTTCAGCTTTAAAATCTTCTAACTTGCAAAGCTAACTTGGAGACACTGAACAGGGCTTAGTGACTGCCCTGCAACCTTCAGCTGAGGAGAACATACTTGGTTCCTGAACTGAAGAGCTGCAATGAAGCAGCGACCACATCAAATCATGAATTTTTGGGATTATTTCATGCATTCAATCCTTTTCCTTCCTACACTGTATTTACTGCCCTCCTCACTTCGATCTTCTTCAGTGCAACAAATGGCGGCACCATAACCAGCAGCGAAAACACTCAACAGCCTTTAAGATTTCTGCATTTCTTGTTTAAAATGAGGTTTAATTTAGGTTAGGGTCTAAATAAAAATGCAATTTGTCAAAAGGATAGATTTATTTCAGGCACATTTAGCTCGAGAATAAATCTAGTCAGCAGCACAAGTGCATATATTCCTGGAGACACCTCTGCAGCAGGGGACCTGGGCTCCACTGAGCAATGCTCATGGACTTGGTTAACAGGCTTGAGCACTGTGGCCGTTCCTCATCTGAGACTATGTCTGGTCATTTCTTCCTAGGGAGGGCTTGATTTGGCCTCGTGGTTTGGCCAGGGTGTTTACACTGCCCTACTGAGCGTCGCTGCTGGCAGCTCTGTGCCCTCCACAGCCAGAGGAAGCTGTGGGTTGGCGAGGGCAGGGGCGGAGGCAGGTGGGAAGAGGAGCCAAACGCAGGCGTACGCGCGTGCTCCGAGCTCTCACCTTGAAAAAGCCCTTGCAGCCCTCGCACGTGCGCACGCCGTAGTGCTGGCAGGCGGCGTTGTCCCCGCACACGGCGCAGGTGCCCTCCCCGGACGAGGAGCTCCTGCTGGGCGGCGATGGGAGGCCGCTGCTGCCGCCGCTGCTCTCGCCCATGAGGCTGGAGGTGCTCGCGCTGAGGCTGAGCGGCGAGAAGGCGAGCGTGCCGGGTCTCTTGGCCAAGGGAAGCCCGTAGGAATGGCTCTCCATGGAGGCCTGGCTGGCCATGGGTCTGTCCGGTCCCAGGGGCAGGCTCAAGGAGGCAGGGTCGTAGCACATGTGGGCGCCCGCTGCGGGCGTGTGGGGAGGCGAGTGCTTGAAGTGGAAGAGAGGGAAGCGCGGAGGCACCGTCTTCATGGGGGCAGCATCCATGAGGTGGCCGGGAGGAAGGCAGGTCTGTGTGGGTGGCAGCGGGGGCTCGTCCCACAGGCTCTGGTGAGGGGGGAAGCCGGGGGGGGTGGGCGTTGAGGGCGGGGATTGCTTGAAGTACATGGACGTGCTGGGCATGCCCTCGTCTGCCGATGGTGGTAGTGACTGCTGGTAGGAAGAAAGCCGAGTGTCTTCCATCTTTATGAGGGGCCTCTGGCTGGAGGAGGAGGCGGATTGCATTTGGTAGAGGCAGGAAGGCTTGAGCTCATAGCTGCCGGAGTAACCCTCCATGAAGGTGCTGAAGCTGGGAAGGGAGGTGGTGGCGGTGGCAGTGATCTCGGTGCTACTCAGGTCCATGGTCAGCTTAGTGTAGTCAGGATTCATGATCTCTGAGCTATACTCCGAGCCATACGCGTAGGTCTGAGCCGCATAATTTGAACCAGGTGGTGAAGGATTATACTGCGCTTGCACACAGGGCATATCTGCAAGGGCAAAGGGGGATGTTAGCAACAAGCCTGGCACTCGGAGGCGGCCCTTCAACCCTTGTTGACTTCTTGCTTAGGAGCTTTCCCGCATTTCACGGAGCTCAGCTGGACACCCAACTCCTGGGCTTGCCGCAACACGGGAAGCATAAATTAGCTTTAACTCCTTGTCTTTCAATATAAAAATATATACTAGGATTGACTAAATATTAGGCACCCTGCTCTCATTTAGTCACTGGAGCAACTCAGATTTATACCAGTGTCAGTGAGAGTATAATCCATCTCAAACTGCCCTAGATCTGCTGCTTGATATATACAGGTGTCAATAAGAATTAAAAAAGTATAATGAAAACCATTTATGACTCTAAATCTATCTCTGTATGTGTGCAACAGTGCCATAAAATTTTCATGAAGGGTAGATTATCAAATGTGTAATATTAGAAATTACATTTATTTTAAAAGAAACCTCTACAATGTCAAGGAAACAACCCAAATCACAGTATTTTCTACTTAGGACTTGCAAACATCGTTTTTGCTTACTCAACTGTGGGCCTTCAAAGCATATTTCTGGTCAGATAATAAATCTAGGTTGGTGTCTAACTAGTTTTAAAGCTTATAGATGGTGTAACATTCTCCTAAAAAAAAAGTGTGTGGTACAATGTATTACCAAATTTTCAAAAATGTAAAGGAAAAAGTATTTCTGTTACTGTTTTTATAAGAAAGCAAGGGTTAGGCTGACAATACAATTGTTTTTTTTTCCCCTATTAGTCATGAAAGTTAATGTGGTTCATTGATAGCTGGGATGGTTGTGGAAACACAGTCACTGCCTATAAAGATTTCTCTTTCATGTTCTTACTGCTCTGCTTTCCTTTGCTGCTCACAAGAAATGATGGACCCAAGTCTGAAATCCATTTGAGGTTTGCTTGATTAAACTTTGTTAGATTCTAGCTCACTATTTGCAACCAAAAATAAAAGCATATGATGAGTTTCAGTTCCACAACACAGGAATAAAATGCTTTTTTTTTCATGAGTTAGTATAAATTCTCTTATCAAGAGAACTGAAACTAAAGTAATATTATCACCAGGGGACAAAATTTGTATCAAAATTAAGCGTTGTTTATCTGGTCTTAATCATGGTAATTTATATTCCAAAGGCACTTGTTAAACAACTCATATTAAAAATGCATTAAAAATATGGGGTTTCCCTCAGTAATTTAAGAACCACCTTCACTTTTAAAGTATTAATCCAAATGTGTCATGCAACAATCCAAATAATTTGTGTTATATCAACTTCTAATTCTCTCTTGCCTGCTTTGCCAATATATCTAAACTATGAACCACATTTCAATTATCGTATCACAAACCCTTCAGATCTTTATTCTTTCATAGAAAAAAAAAACTTAAAAGTGAGGGAAAAATAGTGCCTTTGTTTTCCAAAATCGCTAAGACCTTTCTGCTTGTAAATCCAAGTACTTCGACAGCAAACATAGTAGGACTCCACTTTCACAAACTTCACCTCTCAATCTTATTTATATATATATTATTCCCCTTTTTACTATCAGTTTCTGTACATGTTAGTCAATGTACACAGATGTCATGCCAATTCCTATTACTATCATGCATCAGTTTAAGGACCATCTGTTAAATTATGCTGATCAGTGCTTAATCAAATAAAAAGGGAAATAAATTCGATCCATGCATCTCCACTGAGACCTGACTGGGAAACGTAACTGAACAAGCAGGCAGATAATGCCACAAATGGAGGTGTTCGTACACACTCCCGAGGAGGGAAAAAAAAAAAAAAAAAACGAAGAGGCTTCTTGCTTGCTCTGAAAATGAGGAGGAGTTCAGGACAACAGATCTTCCCTCTTTGTTGTTGTTTGGTTGGGGTTTTTTGTTTGCTTTGTCTCCTAACAGGAGCATGACGGGGTTATGTCCCTGAATTCCCTTCCAAGCGGACTCAGGAGGAGCCCCGAGCCAGCCCGAGCTGAGGCTGGAGGGAACATCGCGCCCGAATCGGTTGCGGTCTGCAGGACTCCTCCTTCCTCGCGCTCTGGAGCGCACTCGACCGGCCGGTTCCAACCCCTTCTTTTCCACTTGGAGCACCAATATTAACTACCCGGGAAGTAAATACCTGGGCTTTTGTCTTCCTTTCTTTACCCAACAATATTTGAAGAAAAACTGCGGGCACACTGAGGAGCGTATGTCACCAGAGCCAAAAATGGATGAGTGAAAAAAAAGACAGGGGGGGAACATTGAGAGCTATTACCCCTGCTTGAAATCTTTGCAGGAGCTTGACATAAGAGATGCGCCGTTCAACGCGAAACAAGCGTTGTTCTTCATAAACACATTAACATCCCACCCACTCGCTCGCAATTTGCTCCTTTAAATGTTTACACATCTTGGGCTTTGGAACTTCCAATTCCCAGGGATCAAGCCATGCTGAGGCTGAAGGCGTCCCTGGACGCCGACCTGCTCAATGGCACAAGGTCCTTTTCGGACGTGAACTCCGCGGCGTGTCTAAAGCCAAAGGAGGTGGCAGGGGGGTCCCGCGGAAGGTGGGGGACGTGGAGAGAGGCGCTAAGGGGCGAGGAGCGCCCCGTGTGCGCGCCCCGCTCCCGCTGCCCGCCGGGGAGGCCCGGGCCTTACCTGGAGGGTATCTTGCTCGCTGAATGGTGGGGCTGGGTGTCCGGCCAGAGGCGGCGGCGAGGGGCGGC